GAAAAGAAAAAAAAAATAAAGAAAAACAGAAAAATGGTGTACGCTTGCATTTATAGTAAAGGACCCCTCGCAGAAAAAAAAAAACCCTCCGTCGTTACAAAGCTTTCTAGAAAGACAGTTTTGTCGTCGTGGTTCAATTCGTTTCACTCACGGTGACGAGCATGCAGTGGCTCTGGAACCATGCGCCGCAGCAGCCGAAGAAGGCGACCACGAAGGTGATGACCCCGATGGCGATGAAGGTGCAGTCGGCCGACATGAGCGAGTACTGGGGCAGGAGGTTGGTGTAGCCCTCGTAGGCCAGGCGCAGCCAGATGCCCACGCCCAGGATGGCGCAGCCGGCGAGCTGCGCACGGAAACGGGTCAGAAGGCGGCCAGTCACATCGCTTCCCGCGCGAGCCCGCGGAGCCACGACGGGATCAGCGGATACGTTATTTATTTACGAAAAAAAACAACGTTACTTTCACCAATACGGAGAAACCTGATAAAAAGTATATACTGTAGCGTCCAACTCACCCAAACGAACACATTCAGCGAGCAGAAGACGTGCCTCACGCACGTGTAGCCACTCCGACCCATCTCGCTGCTTTGGGAGACACTGCAAGAAACCACAAACGCTTTTATCAGTACGATTATGGTGATGGTTCCGTTTTCACGGCCGCCGAGTTTAGAGGGTAGTGCATTGTTGGTATTTCCGACAGTGCAATAATCATTCCGCTCCGATTTTTCTTTTCACACGTTCTCTAATTTGTCTTTGTATCCCCCGTGGGTCATCGACTCGACGGACGGACGGACACCCGTGGGGACAGAGTGAGGCTCGTGAAGCTGTGCGGCCAGCCCGGCGCCGCCACGGGCTGGCCGTCGTGCAGTCGTCCGGAACCGAACTGGGACCGAACCGAACCGAACCGAACCGAACCGAACCGAGCGGCGCACACCGGCCGCGTGGTCAAACAGACTGGTGCAACCCATCGTGCAAGTGTGTGCGATGAAACCACGGGATGTATTTCACGTGAATCCGCAATTTTCGCCGCTTTACGCCGGCGTAAAGCAAAAGAGTAGGTCGTCGTCGCGAGCCGCTCACGAGGCTGAATAGATGGGGCTCATTTTAGATCGCTAGGCAATGGAAACCGTTTCCCGCCGTGCCGCCGCACCCAGTCGTGCACCCACATCGCGGAGCTCGTGGCCAAAAGACCCCCTCCCCCCCCC